AGACACAAAAGTCTACACACTATATGACTTCATTCATGAGACATTCTTGAAGAGGCAAAACTATAGGAACTAAAATCAGACTCCTGAATGCCAGGGGCTGGTGGCAAGAGGAATGAACTGACCACAAAGGGACTTGAGGGGTCTTTATGGGGTGATGGAAATGTTCTATAGAAGGAATGTGATGGTTGCTACCTAACTACACTTGTCAAAATTCATCAAACTGTACACCTCAGAAAGGGCAACTTTTATTACATAAAATTCATACCTCAATTAACCTGACTAAAGAAAATAGTAAAACAACACTAAAAAAATTAAGAAAAGATAAGTCTAAGAAAAATTAACTAACAGTTTATCCAATTCGAGAGTCTTCATAGGAAGTTCTCAACTGTTTTCATTAGGACTTGTGGAGCTCCCACATCTCTGAAGGAGAAAGCCCAAGCATTCATGATGTGAACACCAGTACAAAGATTACATACTTAAAAAGATATTTCAAGGACATGTAATTACTTCAATTTGGGCTTCTCTATAAAATAAGCCAAGAATTTATTTGCCAAAGGAGATAATTCCAGAGCACTCTTATTAAAAAGATTTAAGTAGATTTGCATAATAAAAGTTTGATATTAACTAGTAGGAGGCATACCCTCTTTTACCAATATCCTGTTTCTCATTTTCATATTACTTCATATCTCTCTCTCTCCCTCCCTCCTCCCTCCTCCCTTCCTCTCTCTCTCTCTCTCTCTCTCTCTCTCTCAGGATCTTACTCTGTTGCCTTGGCTGGAGGGCAGTGGCACCATCCCAATTCAATATAGCCTCCACCTCTGCGCTCAGGTGATCCTCCCACCTCAGTCTCTTGAGTAGTTGGGATCATAGGCATCTCGCCATGACCAGTTAACAAGTTTTTGTGTTGATGAGGTCTTGCTATGTCACCCAGGCTGTTCTCAAATTCCTGAACTCCAGTGATCCTCCTGCCTCAGTCTTCCAAATTGCTGGAAGTCTCATTCACCTCTCTTGATTGCTTGCTCTGTTATTTCTTTATTTGAGGGGGGGTGTTTTCTTTTTAAAATAATGAACACCTGAGCCTCTTTGTTTTCTGGGATAATTAATATTCCTACATGTGCTTACATGTTCCATGTTTATATGTATTCTTCAGTACTGCTCTGTTTCCTTGTTGTCTCTTTTATTTACTTTACTTTTATTAAATAAAGATGGGGCCATATGTAGCCTAAACTGGTCTCAATCTCCTGAACTCAAGCAATCCTCGTATCTTGGCATCCCAAAATGTTGGGATTACAGTTGTAAACCACCACACCTGGTCAACATACACCATTTAAAATCCTTTTCTTTGTCAACAGCTTTTTTCAATAACCCAGTTAAAATCTAAAATGTGACTTTTTAAGTCAATATACAAAATACTTAATCTTTGATAAAAGTAAAAAAGAAGAGCATAAATCATCTCATGACTCTTGAGATCACTGTAATACTTACAAATATTTTAATGCTGGCAATTTAAACACATATGAATCTTCAACAGTTGTTAGAAGACTGCAATTGAGAATTCTGAAAAATGTAATAAAATTAAAAATTCCCTACATTTTCATTATACAAGAAACTGCACAAAAATTTTATTTTGTTTTTTTTTTTGGTGTGGAACATGTAGGTTAAAAAAATGTTTTCTGACTTTACCTAGATATCACCATTAGACTCCACAAAGCACTCTTCCTTTGAGGACTACCCAGGTCTATTGAAGAGAAAATGGAGAAGAAAGGCGGAGGAGAAAGAAATGTGGGTAGCAAAGAAAAATATGCCAAATAATTTTTCAGGTAAAAACCCTAGAAGTGACCAGGCTGATAGAAAGCCCTTGCTCTGTAGGAAAAATTATCACTAGTGTCGTCCATAATTCAAGATGTCTATATTTCATCTTTATACATTTTTTTAAATTCATGATTAAATCCACCCAGTTAAGGAAAAAAACATTACCAATTCCTTGGCTTTAGAGTCAAAGAAAAAGGCATAAATCGAAGATGAGGGTCAAGTGAAGGCACCCTTCCCTCACACACTCCACCTGGTCTCCTATGTCACACCAAAGCCTCTGTCACAGTGCAGACTGAATCACAAGTTCACTGTCAGTATCTTGGATTGTCAGCTCTTTGAGGGCATGAATCACACTTATTGTCATTGTCATCCCTGTGCCTGGCATAGAGCCTGAAATTTACTAGGTATTTCACAAATGTTTGTTGTATAAATAAGTAACATTTTGTTTATATATCAATAAAATTGAAAATTCATTTTAGTTAGAAATTTTTATTCCAAAATGCTGGAAATTTTCTTTTCAATTATTTAAGGGAAACAGAAAAGAAAGAAAGAAAGAAAAAAGAAAGAAAGAAAGAAAGAAAGAAAGAAAGAAAGAAAGAGAAAGAAAGAGAAAGAAAAGAAACAGCAAGCACGAAAGAAATAATCTGTCTCTCTGTTAACTCAAGAATCATCAGTATACTTTTGCCAAACATTATAAAAATAATAATCACTATAGCTAATATCCATTGGGTTCCAAGGCAGCTGTGATCAGCATTTCACATTTAATACTTACAATAACTTTAAGTGGTAGACATTATTATTACCCCATTTTATTTTATTTTTCTTTGAGTTGGAGTCTCACTCTGTCACCCATGCTGGAGCCTCAAGCTGCTGGGCTCAGATTCCTTCTGCCTCAGCCTTCCATGTAGCTGGAGTTACAGGCATGCACCACCATGCCCAATTGCTTTTTTTCACTTATAGTAGAGATGAGGTCTCACCAAGTTGCCCAGTCTGGTCTCAAAACCCTGGACTCAGGCAAACCTCTCAACTTGGCCTTCCAAAGTGCTGAGATTACAGGCTGAGCCCCCATGCCCAGCGAAGCACTATTTCTTAAGTACTTACTAAGATCTCACTGGATGTCTATATTTGTTATTCTCCCACGCTTGAAAGTTTACATCATTTCAAAGAATCAGCTGGGCTCGGTGGCTCAGCCTGTAATCCCGCGCCTTTGGGAAGCTGAGATGAGTGGATTGCCTGAGCCCACAGGTTCGAGACCCGCCTGGGCAACAAGACCTCATCTCTACAACAAATCAAAAAATCAGCCGGGCGTGGTGGGGCATGCCTGTAATTCCAACTACTTGGAAGGCTGAAGCGGATAGATCGCCGGAGTCCAGCAGGTCGAGGCTGCGGTGGCCGGGAGTGGCCACTGCACTCCAGTCTGGGTGACAGAGTGAGACTCCAACTCAAAAAAAAAAAAGAATCACTGCAAGTAATATCTGTACATCTTTGATTTTTTTCCCCTTGGATAAATTTCTAGAATTGTTATTGGTGGGTCACGGGTTTGCCTAATTATGCAGTTGCCCTATAGGAAGTACAGAAGAGAGTGGTGGCTGCTTGTTGTATCCTCCCATACTGGGTATTATGGGTCCTCTTACTTATTTTTAAATTTTATTTTGAGACCATGGTCTAGCTATGTTGCCCAGACTGATTTCAAACTCCAGGGCTCAATGGAAACTCTCACCTCAGCCTTATGAGTAGCAGGATTATAGGCGTAAGCCACTATGCCTGAGCCAGAAGTATTTTTTATCTTTGTCAATTTGAGAGATTTAAATTTTTTTTTCCTGTATTTTTCATCCCATGGTGTATTCATTTACTGCTTTTTGCCACCATAAGACCAGTGTTTGCAGTTCAGGAGGTAGAAATTCAAGGTGGCTTTGTTTCTGTTTTGTTTTGTTTTTGTTTTTGTTTGCTTGCTTGCTTGTTTGCAATTGAGGTCTCACTTTGTCACCCAGGCTGGAATGCAGCGGTCAACTCACAGCCACTACAGCCTCAACCTGAAGGGCTCAGGCTATTCTTCCACCTCAACCTTCCAAGTACCTGGAACTACAGGCAAACACCACTACACCTGGCTAATTTTTTGGTTTATTGTAGAGATGAGGTTTCACCAAGTTGCCTGGGCTGATCGTGAACCTGTGGATTCAGGCAATCCACCTCCCAAAGTGCTGGGATTATAGGCATGAACCACTGAGCTTGGCCTATGACCCCATTTTAAAATGAGAAAACTATGGTACTGAGAGGTTGTATGTCCTAGATCACCATGCCATTAAAATCAAAGTTGGAATTGGAACTCAGCTCTTTGAAGTCAGAAACACAAAGTCTGTGTTTGTACTGAATGAAGAAAAGAGGTTTCAAAGAGCTGCTACTTTAACCTTGATTATGAGAGGACCGAATGCAGAAAAGTCTTTGCAACCTTCACCTTCTTTATCTTGAAGAGCTTCGATAAGAACTACGGCTTCTCTTATTTCTTTTTCTTAATTATTTCCCATAATTAAGTATTTAACTAGCCCATGGTCCCTGAGACTTAAGAGATTTAAAACCTTGTTTTAGGTGACATCAGTGAAAACGATGGAGTAAGGGCATCTGAAAATCCATCCCTTCATAAAAGTAACAAGAAAAAAAATGGGACAGTTGAAGGGCTGCTGGTGGGGCTGACGGGAACCTTGCACGAAGATAGAAGGGAGCCAGGTCAAGGGAAGAATGGAGGAGAGAGTACGGTGGGAGGTCAGCAGAGGTGAAAGACCAGAGCGACCCCATTTTAAACAGGTTCAGGTGAGGGTGGTAGCAGCAAGAGTAGGGGGTGGTCTAGAGAAGAACTAGGGATGGGGTGACCTCGGGATGGCAGGCAACCGAAAGGATGTGTATGTTGGGCTGGGAAGTCTGTAGGTACAAAATGCAAGTAAGACTTGGGACAGGCAGAGATCATAGTTTTCCTGACGGAAGGAGTGAACTAAAGGGGGCACCTTCACTGAAGGGAGGTCTCAGATGACAGGGGGCAGAGGCAGGGAGCTTGGGATAAGCAAACAGTGGGAGCTGAGTAGTGGATATGGGGAATGGGGTGAGAAAGCCGAGTCTTAACGGGGGGAGGACAGAACGGGGGGATTTGGGGAGGCGTGTGGAGTCCCAGGGCTACCGGAGGGGCTGGGGTGAGGATGAGGGGTGTCAGGACAGGCGAGGGGAGGTGGCGGGGCTCGAGGTTGGAGCTGAAGAGGGCCACGAGTGGTGCTGCGCTGACGCCAGGCTGGGGTGCGGGCAGGAAGTCTCAGCAGGAGGGTCTTGGTGGGAGGAAGGGGGGGCCCACAGGGCTTTGTGAGCTGGGACTGCCCTACGGCCTCACGGCGGCCAGGACTGAGGAACTCGAGCGGCCCTCCACTGTCCTCTTTGCCCCTGGACCCCTAACTCACCAGAGAGAGCGAGGAGCAGGGTGGGGAACCCACCCAGCCTGGGCAGCCCTTCAGGCTCACAGCGACGCAAAGGACCTGGCAACCGACAACAGAAAGCTGCTTGGGTGACGCCTGACGTCATCACGCCGGCCAGGCGCTCTGGCCCGCCCCCATCCTGTGGAGCCAATCATGGGACTTGGAGGAGCCGCAGGGAGGGGTCTGTTGCTCCTAGAAGCGTTAGGGTGCGAGGCCCCAGAGCAGGCACGTGGTGTGGGCGGTTAGGACCCAGGGGCACACGCCGGTGCGGAGAGGGGCAGGCGCCAGGACCAGGTGTCACGCTCCTTGCAACTTGCCTGCTGCAGGTCTGCGTCAGACCGGATCCTGGCTTCTGGGTTCACACGTGGTGCAGGTATCCATGTCTGACAATGTTGCAGATTCTGTTTCACACACACAGGGGAGGTGGCTCAGTGACAAGGGACGCCAGTCAGTGAGCAGACATCCCAGCGCATGTCCACAGATTCAGGGGAGAAGTAGCCACAGACTCCAGCCTCACCTCAAAGCCCTGACACACTCCCTCTCTGTGGAGATCCTGGGATTCCTCTTCCGTGTCACTCAGGGATGAAAACCACAGCAGTGATGATCCACAGCGATGATCCCTTGATGGTTCAACACACTTGTGGCCACTCAATTTTCATTTTACCTTAAATGTGGATACTCCTGCATTTGAGAACTGTCATTTTCGTGTGTTTGACTGTAATGCTCTTCATGTTTCAGCTTTCTGAGAATTTCTTGGCAGATAGAATCTCTGAATGGGACCACTGTTTTTCTATGCCATGGTCTAACCATTTGGTTCCTTGAGCCCTGGTCACCATGTTTCCTCGCTTTGCCCCCACCTCCTACCTTGGGGAGGTGAATCTCCTCTCTCTCCCTCTCTAATCTACTTTCTAAATAAATTATGTTTTCCAGTCTAACTTCTGTGCAGCTCTTTGCATCTTTCATGCTGTACTGGATTACTCAAATCCACCCGGGCGGGTCTGACGTAACATTATATCTGATTTTTTTCTTTTCTTTTCTTTTCTTTTCTTTTTTTGTTTTGAGTTGAGTCTGACTCTGTCGCCCAGGTTGGAGTGCAGTAACATGTTCACGGCCACCCCAACATCAACAGGCTGGGCCCAGGCAATCCTTCCACCTCTGCCTTACAAGTAGCTGGAACTACTGATGCATGCTACCACAGCCCCGCTAGTTTTTTTATTTATTGTAGAGATGAGGTCACGCCAAGATGCCCAGGCTGGTCTTGACCACCCAGGTTCAGGCAATCCGCTTGCCTTGGCTTCTCAAAGTTCTGGGATTGCACACTGAGTCACTGAGCCTGACCAAATTTTTTAATTTCTTTTTTTTAGTTGTAGTCTCACTCTGTCACCCAAGCTAGAGAGCAGTGGCACACTTACAGCTACCACATCCTCAGCCTGCTGGTCTCAGGCCACCCTTCTGCTTCAGTCTTCCAAATAGCTGGAACTACAGGCATGCACCACCATACTCAGCTAATTTTTGTATTTATTGTAGAGACAAGGTCTCGCCATATTGCCCAGGCTAGTCTCAAAACACTGGACTCAGGCTATCCTTTCACCTCAGCCTCCCAAAGTGCTAGGAATACAGATATGAACCACTGTTCCCAGTTTATTTTTAATTTTATGGTTATCATAGTTGTACAAATTTATGGGGTACATGGAACATTGTGATACAAGCATACAATGTCTAATTATCAAATTGGGGTTTGGGAAGCCCTGTCACCTCAAACATTGAATATTTCTTTGTGTTGTGAACATTCCAGATCATCTCTTGTAGCTGTTTTGAAATATATGATAAATTACTATTACTATACTGGTGGGGGCAAAAAAGTATACACATTTTAAGTATGACCTTCACTCAAAAGTTAGCATTAATCAAATGAATGCTGGCATCATGTGAAAGAAAGGACAGTCAAAGAAAATGGTATAAAAAAGAATCTCTGAATGGATGCATATATTATCCACCTTGACTATGGAATCTGACACCAGGATCCTCTTATATCCCAACCCCTCATGCACTCTAAAAATTAGCTATAACTGACCGAGCCTCTCATGACCAGGCACTACTGGCCTCCATAACCACTGTGATGACTGGGAGTCATGATCACATACTCCAGAAGAGGAAAGTGAGGTTCAGAGATGGTACAGTAATGCTGAATGTCACACAGGCAGTGGCTAAACAGTGAGCATTCAAATGGAGCTCAACTTTCTCTTCACAGTTAAGCTCTGACACAATCATCACACCCAAAGCTTGGAAGTAGGACCAGGGGATGAGGATGGGAGTTTAAAGAAAGAAAACAAGGGGTACTGAGGAACAGAAACAGATCAGGGCTGTTTCCAGGGTGGTGGGTGGGGGATTCTGTTGCTAAGAAGAAAAAAGAAGTTCAGGAAAAACACAACTAAGAAGAGACAAGATCCACACCCCTAGTCAGGAGAAGAGTCTTTTTTCCCCCTTATTTCCCTGTACGTCTCCTTGTGGTACACCACTATGCTGCTAAACATGAATGGCATAGTCAAATGATAACTGTGACTCTGCTGATCTGTGTCTGTCCTGGATTTCTCCTAAACCCTCTCCTTCCTGAGATGAAACCCATGCTGCTTGATCCCAGGCACAGACTCTCTCTGACTTCATGGCTGCCCTGAAATAAGCCTAGTGTACACCATGGACTGTAGCTAAAGATGTAACCTGACTGAGCTCAACAGACTAATATAAGTGATCAGTCATTCTGTGTCTATCACTTTCTGCCTCTATGTTCCAAATAAGCTTTGTAATAGAGCAGTTTGCTTATTATTATGTGGTAGATACAAAAATGAACATATTATAATTAACAAGGATTAACATGATTTGCTTATTAAGGGGTATGCGTTCCTGACTAAAGCAGCAAGTCCACTGTGCATGTCATTGATTTTCTAGGCCCTAAAACATGTATGGTTCCGTTTACAAGTTATAACCCTGCAGCATAAACACCTCATGTAATATCGTCCACAAATGTGCAGCGAGGTGGAGGGGGTGGGTGGCCACAGCCTCTGCAGCATCCCCCAGTCTCCCAAACTTTTCTATATTCTCACAGAGACACACATTTTGCTAGACTTGGACAGCTGTGTGTGTTCACTTGCAATCTTGAGCAGAATCTGGGGCCTCAGACATTCCCAGGCTCTGACAAATTTGTTTAGGTTGTTGCTCAGAAACACTGAGAAATTAACCCTTTTGCTAAACACATACAAACTTGCTCTGTCCTATATCAAATTTCTTAACTCTCATATATAACTCCACACCTGACACCTTCACTGTGGATACACCCAGGTAAAATATTCTGTGCCTCACTTCCATCTTGAGGCCATGTTATATCATGCCCCATAAGAAAACCCCCCTCCCCAAAGAAATACTTTCGAGTGAAGACACTGGTGTTAAGTGCTTCTTTCTTCATATTTTCCCCAGCCTCGTCTCAGGATAGGGTAGCACCATCCCTTGCAAGAACTTCACTACTGCCACTTTAGGGTCAACTCCAGCCATAAAATGGCACCAGAACTGCATACCAAAGCTGAAAGGAGCCAATGTTCACAGTCTCTGGAAGTCCACTGGGGTCAGCACTTGTGATTTTCAGGGCAATCTCAGAGGAGCCTGTAGATCTAACAGTATATACACAGACACCCCAGAGAGATAAACTTATTTAATAGTTTTCAGGGGGGGTAGAATTTAAATGTTAGGAGGGGGTTTCGTGGTGTTTTTCTTATTAAAATTATAAGTTGGCATTTTAGACCAGATAGTATCAGTTGATGCTGTGGATCAGAGTTCAGCATACATTTTTTAAAAGGGTCTGATGGCAAATATTTTAGCCTTTAAGGATTTTATGTTCTTTGCTGCAGCTAATCAGCTTTGCCATTGTAGTGTTAAAGTAGTCGTAGACAGTACCCAAAGGAATGAGTATCTGTGCTCCAGTAATATTTTACATGAAAAACAGCTGGCATACCTGCTGTTGGTGGTTTATAAAACATATCTCATTTTATATTAGTCAGAAAGAATTGGGTAGGTCTAGAAAGGCCTAGTATGCTCAGAGATCATTGTATTTTGTTTTTTTAATCAGCTCCAAGCCGATAGTACCAATTGCAATGGAATAAGTTATACAAATGTTATATCTCTTGGGCAAATGCAACTATAGATGGAATTTTTTCCTTTTACAACAACTTGTAGAAAGCCCAGAAAAGGAAGTCTTGGATTGATTAGGGTTGCCAGGAGTGAAAAATCTTTTAGGGGATTGTCTCTCTGTTTTTCTGCTGAATCCTGCTTTCTGGGAAGAGAATCTTTTATTAAATATTTGTTTATGAAGGGAGAAGTGTTCGGTTTAATTTCGTACATGAATCTCTTTAATACTTATTTTGTATTGCCTCCCACATTTGGGGAAAACTCTGGGTGGAATGACTCCTAATTCAACCCATCACTTTGTTTGTAGCAAAGGTCACTAAAGAAATCTATAATTCATTTGGTAAAAGCATGTGTTTGTGCATAATGCTTATATCATTTTCCTTTCCTTTCCTCAAGAGTAGGAAGCTGGCAGAAAGCACTAGTAAATGTTCCAGTTTCCTGAAATGGAAAGTGAAAAAAGTGACTTTCTTGTATCACTCTCAGTACCTATGGCTTGGAAGGCAAATGTGCAAGTCTACTTGCAGTAGTGTAAAGAGTTGACCGTGCCGGTGAGCTCTCTTGAACTTTTTGGTCTAGCTGGTAGAGTTGGGTTTTCTGTCCTGCAGTAGAGCATATATGTCCCATCATGCAATGGAAGATGGATCTGTGGAGGTAGTCTTTGTTGTGAACATCTGAAGAATTACTGTTAGGCAAATGTTATTGTCCAAAAAGTAACCGTGGTGATTCTGACCAAGACTTTTTCTCCAGTAGAGTCCAGGACAGAGTTCCAGCTCCATCTTCCCAACCTGAACGGTATGACACAATGTTAAAGGGAGTAGACGCCCCAGAATCTGGAGCAGCCAGGTGTGAAAAATACAGACTAATACGTATCAAAAAGTCAAACCATTTCAGCCACCAAAAGCATCATGTTTGTCCTGAATGTGGAAGAGACTTTTGTCAGAGATCAGATCTGAACAAGCACCAGCAGACACACACAGGGGAGAAGAAGCCTTACCTGTGCCCTGAGTGTGGGTGCCAGTTTAGCGAGAAGACCTCTCTCACCATACATCAGAGGAAGCACTCAGGAGAGTGTGTACAGGGAACGAGGATGATACTTCAGGTATACATCCTTTCTCACTAACCACAAGAGGATTAACACTGGGGAGAGACCCTTTGCATGGTAGAAATGCAGGCAAGTCTTTTGCCAGAAGATAGCCCTTATTCTATACCAGAGGACACACTTGGAGGAGAAGCCCTCTGTGTGTCCCGAGTATGGGAGAGGTTTTTGCCAGAAGGTACCACTCCTCCAACACCAAAGCTCATACACAGGGGAGAAGCCCTTCTTGTGCCTTGAGTGTAGATGTGGCTTCAGACAGCAGTCACTATTATTCATCAGTCACCAGAATATACACTCAGGAGAGAAGCCTTATGCCTGTGGTGAGTGTGGACACAGCTTTCACTAGAAGAGTACCCTCATCAGACACCAGAGAACACACACAAGAGAGGAGACTCACCTGTGCCCCCTGACTCACCTGTGAGTGAGGTTTTAGCCAGAAGGTCACCCTCATCAAATACCAGAGGATACACAGGTGAGATGCATTACCTGTGCCCTGAATCTGGACGTGACTTTGGGCCGAAAGTACCTCATCAAACGCTAGAGGACACACACATGGGAGAAGCACTATCTTGGCTCCGAGTGTGGGCGTGCTTTTGGTTTTAGGTCACTCCTTACTAGACACCAGAGGACACACTCCGAGGAGGAGCTTTATGTAGACAGGGTGTGTAGGCAAGAACTTGGTCCAAAGTGACACCTCATCTCTGGTCAGAGAATGTATTCAGGAGAGAAACTTTGTGTTTGTGAGTGTGGACATGGCTTTGGCTTTTAGTCTGCCCTCATCTGACATCAGCAGACTCACTCTGGAAAGAAACCATATGTATGCAGGGCATGCAGGCATGTCTTTAGCCAGAAGTCACACTTGCACAAACCAAGTCTTTAGACAAAGTCTGACCATCAGCTCCTACACAAGAGGTGCTCTCCACTCCACTCCCCTTCCTCCCCTTATCCCCTCCCCACTCCCTTTCTTTCCCCTCTCCTGTCCTCAAAAATGTGAAGCTGGCAGAAGTCACTAGTAAATGTTGCAGTTTTCTGAATGGAATGGGAAAAAGTGTCTGTTGTTGATCATGAGCTAATTGGTTTATGGTTTACTTTCTATGTTAGTAATGTGTCTTTCCTAGGGCTGCCATAATAAAGTACCCCAGTCTGAGGGGCTTTAATAGCATAAAGTGGTTCTCTCTTATTTGTGAATTCCGAAGTCCCAAATCAAGGTATTGACAGGTTTGGTTATTGCTAAATCCTTTCTCCTTTGCTTGCAGATGACTGCCTTCTTGCTGCATCCTCTTAGAGCCTTTTTTCCTGTGCATATGCTTTCTTGGTGTCTCTTCCTCTTCTTATAAAGAACATCAGTCATTTTGTATAGGGCCACACCCATATGACTTCATTTAAACCTAGTACCTTCTTAAAGGCTCGATGTCCAAATACAGCCACATTGGCGGATGAGACTTCAACATATAAATTTTGGCAGAACACAATTTTGTCTATAACTCTAGATCACCAAAATTCATGTTCTTCTCACATACACAATTTTGCAAATCCTAAAATTCTGGTTCCATTTTGCTTAACGGTTTCTTCAATTTATTTCTCTCCTTTCATTGTTTACTCTAAGCACAAGAAGAAAACAGGCCACAGTTTCAACACTTTGTGCAGAAGTCTCAGAGAATATTCAGCATTTACATCACTTAGAGTATCTACATCCCATAAAACTCTAGAACACAATTGGAGCAAATCCTCAGCAACTGTATAGCAAGGATTTCAGTTTCCAGTTTCTTGTCCTTCATTTCTATTTAAGACCTCACCACAATCAGCTTCAACAACTACATTCCTATCAACAGTATTTTAAAGGCAGTCCAGGATTTTTCTAACATGTACCTCAAAACTCTCCTACCCTCCACTAATTATCCATTTCTAAGCCACTTCCACATTTTAGGTTTATTATAAAGTCCCCTATTCCTGGTACCAAAATATTATTAGTGTGCTAGAACTGACATTAAAAAAACAGACTGAGTGCCTTAAGCAATATAACATTATTTCTTCACAGTTCTGGAAGTTGGACGTCCCAGAACAAGGTGTTGGCTGGTTTAGTTTTTAATAAAGTCTTTTCTCCATGGCCTTCAGATGGCTACTTTCTCTGTTTCTTCACATGACCATTGTTTAATGTGTGTTTTGTGGGTGTCTCTCCCTCTTATAAGAATGCTGGTCATATTGTATTAGGGCCACACTCAAAATACCTAATTTTAACTTCAATTACTCCTTTAAATTTCCTATATTCAAATAATTATATTGGGAATTTGGAATTGAACATATGAACTGGGAAGGGAGAGGGACATAATTCAGTCCATAACACTCTGCCTCGAACCCTCATAATTCATTTCCACCAATCAATTCCTTCCATAAGGGGAATTTTCTTAACCATTCATTTCCTTTCCCCATAAGTGTGAATAAGGCAGAAATCACTAGTAAATGTTGTTCTACTTTCCTGATATGGAATGGAGGAAAAAAGTTTCCTTCATTGATCATGAAATAGTTGATTTATGCTTTGTATACAACAGTTATCTGTATTTTGTGGCTTTTTCTTTTAATTAAATGCTACTCTACAAAGCTGTATACTTGGCTATGTGTCTTGTTCTCTGACCTGTTGAGCAGAACTCAAGGTATTCAACCTCTTGGGAGGAGCTGATCTGTGATTTTATTCTGAACCCTTGTCCTGTGTGAGAGTGATGTTAATATGGTTTTCAACCTCACCCCTTCCTAAGTCCTCCAGTGTCTGTGATTATACCCCCTAGCCACACACTCAACCTTCCTAAGGGTATTTATTCTCACCCCATTCCTGCATCTTGAGGCTCCATCATGTGATCTATGACCACATGCCAGTGATTCAGCTGTAGATGTCAGGCCCTAAAGCTACAGTCCTCCTTAGTCCTCCATTACAGGGTTAAAGCTCTGAAGCCACCCAACCTTATATCTAGCTCAAGGCACTGTCCCTTGAGCCATAACCCTCCCCCTTTCCCCTAAGCCCTAGAGTCCAAATGTCCCAGATCCTGACAAATGCCTATACCACGACTGACTCTGGCCCTGTGCCTTTGGACCAAGTGTGTCCATTACGGACTGTATCCCCGGGTTCTTGAGTCACTACTGTCTCAGAGGAGGGTTTCACCAGAATGAAAAGAAAGAGATTTTAGTTTGGGGGAATAAAAAAGTGTTGGGAGGAAGGGTGAATGAAAAATGACAGATAAAGAAAAATGACAGATAGATGATCCAGTGACCCCAATATCTCAGTTGGGGTTGTCCAGACTTCAGTGATCTCCAGATCAGTTTTGCAGGGATGACCTAGGACCATCTGGGGATGGCCCTCATTAACGCATTCTACTAAAGTCCCTTTGCCACAGCCACTTTTTTATGGCCAGAGCTGAATGTCACAAGGGAAGGCATGTGTGAGTTTGTGTGCATGTGCATATGTGTGGTTATCTCACACCAACAGTTTAAAAAGTTTTTACTGAGAATATAAACAGAAATAATAACCATTGTAGCATATATATAATGCCCTTTTACTAAAAGTGTTTTCCTATCATGGAAGTTTTTATATAACTTCACCCAAAATAGACCTATAAGTGACATATAAATCAAAAACAAAGAAGATAAAAAGTGAACTTGTGTTTTTTATAATGTCTCTGCTAGAGAAATCTAAAATGGTGAAAGAAGGGAAAACAAAACCTTTTAATTGTTTGATAAAAACTACACAATAAATGAAATTAATGCTTTGTGGAAATAGGAAATCTATGCCTGACACTACTACACAACATTCCACTATAGACCTTTGGAAAAGAAAAAAAACCATCAAAGCATATTCTCCAGAGTTACTTTAAACTCTGGAAATACAATGGGCCTGAATGTTAATGCCCCAAAACAGCACAAAAATGACAATTTTTGTTTGTTTGTTTGTTTGTTTGGGGGCTTTTTGTTTGTTTTTGAGATAGGGTCCCACTTTGTCACCTGGGGCTGGTAGCATCATAGCTCATTGTGCCCTTGAATTCCTGGGCTCAAATGTTCTTCTTGAGTACCTAGGGCTACAGGTGTGTGTCACCACACCCTGTTTTTTTATTATTTAGTTGTAATAGAGTCACAGTCTTGCTATATTGCTCAGGTTGGTCTCAAACTCCTGGTCTCAAGTGATCCACCGCCTTGACCTCCCAAAACTGAAGGAGTACAGACATGAGCCACAATATCTGGTCAAAACTGACTGTTCTTAAATGGAGCATGGCAGTAACTTTCAAAGTAGCATGGCCCTTTTCGGAAGTAATCACTTTGCTTAGCCCATATGCGAAAGGAGGGAAATTAAGCTCTATCTTCCGGAGGAAAGACTATCAAAGAATTTGGAAATGCATGTTAAAATTATCATAATAATAAATATCTGGAGTAAGATATCTTGAAGTTATATAAATGTTTCTCTGTAATGTTTTGTCCAATAATTTCAGTATTCATTGATATATCTTGCCTGTAGCAATATAATTACCATAGTATTCTAATGTTTTTATTTCTTGCATTGTTCCCTTTTTTTAATTCTTCTATAATGTAATATTTAGTCATTTACGTCTGCCAGTATGGACTCAAGGCTCCTTGTTTTATTCATTGAGTGATCATCTGACAGATCATTTATTTTTTCACTCAAAATTTTCCAGCTTTAGCCTCTGGGAGCTACCCTTAATTTTTTACATACAAGATCCTCTAAGCTTATCTTATATTTTTCTCATCCCACACGTGGAACCAGCCTTCCCTGCCTCCTTTATTTAAAAACAATATTTAGAATCTAAGTTGTGGATACTAGGTATGCTTCTAGATCTTTCAGGGACAGAGCTAGGATAAAGGTGTATAGAATGATGATACACACATATGTGTTTACTTTTGTAAACATCTACCTTTATATATTAAAATAAATCTATCTTCATACTAATATCTTTGACTCCAATCCAGCACCACAAGATTCATTCTAGCCTTCCCCCACCTCCTGGCTCTTCTTGATTTGTAACCTATTTCTCTGACTTTTTTCCTTGATCATTCACTGTTTTAGAGATTTTATTTTGTACAACCTTATCACAACACAAGTCACATATCATACAATTCACTCACTTAAAATGTACAGTCAATAGTTTTTAGTATAGTCACAGAATTGTGTAACCATTACAAAATCAATTTTAGAACATTTTAATCACCCCCAAAATAGCCTGTGTACCTTCCATTTCCTTTAGACCCGCATTCTTGGGCAACCACTATCTATCTCTCTCTACAGGTTTCCTTACTCTGAATATTTTTTGTATATGGAATCATACAATTGTCTGAACCTTCTCTTTGAATGTATTCTACACAAGTGCTACTGCATGTGGAAATGTTCCATTTATATAATCCTTCTTGTTGGTGCTCCCTGAACCCAGAATGAAAGGATATCCCACAGAAGACAGAAAGATCATCAAGTTTTCAGATATATACCACCACCTTGGGTTCAGGGTTCAAGATTGAACACATCAAGTTCTTTCAGGCTCATTTTTGTAGAATCATGAACTCACGTGGTAGTGGTTTCACAACATTTAAGACCCTATTATTAACACATTTGACAACAACAATTCATGGTAATTTTAAAAGTATCATAATTAATGTCGGTAGGTACCCATTCAAAGACCCTCCCTTTGGTCCAAGCGAAGTCTTGAAAAACAATTTATATTAGTTTGTTTGACAATTGTCTTTTCTTGATTGTTTTGAGGTGCCTCTCCAACTTATAAAGCATCTGTCTAAATGCAAGAGGAGATATTAGACTGAAGAAACCCCGAATCGTTCTGTCAGTAAATCATGTAAATCAATTCTGTCTGGTCCCATTGTAGTAAGCAAGTG